CATGTAAAGTTAAATATCTTACCAACAGTACAGTATAAGATGGCACCATATGATATAAACATGTGGAGTTAAATATCTTACCAACAGTACAGTATAAGATGGCACCATATGATATAAGCATGTGGAGTTAAATATCTTACCAACAGTACAGTATAAGATGGCACCATATGGTCGTGGCAGCACAGATTCAAATCTAACGCTGTAGCCACAACTCACACCAAGGTTTTCTGACCTCTCATTGGCTACTCTTTCTGCAATGGACACTGCGCTGATTCTTCTGGGCTAGAAAAAAAAGGAATACAAAATTTTTAACAGACAATGAAATTTTAATTTCTATTTAAAAATAGAAAAAAATTCATACATTTAAGTTAAGAAGACATGGCATTTTGAAAGAAAAACGTTTTTTTTAGCTTTGATATCATTTTTAGACAGATTTTCCTTCATTTTACCACAACCAATTGCATACTATTTAACCAACTTGATTCAAATGAAAATTTTAATAATCTATCCATGAACAAATTCCTGATCGATAACTCATAATAAATACCACAAACACATAACATGAGTTTTCAGAATTAATTACCTCATCAGTCCCCCTCACCTCAACCCCCAATTAAGATACAAAGGTTAAGGGAAACCAAAAGTTTATCTTCTAAATGTAAAAAAGTACTCAATTATTTTTTTGAAAAAATAAGAGCACATTTTGAGGGCAATCACATGAGCACAGTTTATATATACTCAAAGTTAAATAAAACTAGCAGAAACAGTGCAGTAAGGACTCAACAGATATTTGAATTCAGTATAAACTATATCCTAGCTGGTCTGACCTATAGTTGTAAGAGTAATTTGTAACACCTTAGGTTTTTGCCGGTGTCTCTGTCATGAAACATAGTGCCTAAACAGCAAATGATTAAAACTATAATCTGATACTGGATATTGTGTAGTGGTGACTCACAACACTCAAAGGTTAAACATATAAAACCAACCAACAGAGAGAATTTTCACTGTCACACAGACAGAAGGTATGTACATGTAATAATATGTTATTTTGTTATCAATCCTGTTGCACTGGTTTATGATATCTGTCAAATTCTAATCCCCCCTCAAAACTTATCGCAATTGTCGTAAATCTGTGGTAATCAAAGTCCATGACTATCCTATACCAACAATCACAAACAGGTAATGATATGCTGATATGTCATGTGCTATTAATAGTAATAGGGATTTCCACTTTGAAAAAATCTGAAAGTAGTGATTTTAAAACATTTTGCTTGGGAGTGTTATAAAATTTACACATTATAGTATAAAATATTCAGACACTTAATGAAGACTCCAGATGTGAACAGCCACAAGACTGAAAGTTATGTCACTTAAAAACCAGCAGTGGTGAGGACCTCTGTTTAAAAAGAACTTTAGCACAAATTTGGGTCATTCAACCAAGTTGATATCTCAGTTTAACATTTTAGTAAGTTGCAGCACAAACCAAACACTGCATGGACACACCTTCAGACTAAACTGTAGCAGACCGTTTAGCAAAGAAAGACAGGCAAAAAGCAAGGTGAGTTTTTTTTCCACTGCTTGTAGGTCTAACTGTTGATACACCTGTTAAAGACCAGGTGTTATACTGTAGGAGAGGATAAAACTCTATGAACTAATTATTTACTTTAAGAAATGTATGGAGATAATGGTTTAGCCAAATATTATGTCACTTTTAAGTGACAGTGAATGGTCAATCCCTATTTCAATCCTTATGTGCACTACTGTAACTGTATATTTTTATGCTGAGAGAGAGAGAGAGAGAGAAAGAGAGAGAGAGTGAGAGCTAGGAGAGTCCAGGTGTGTGTGATTTATAGGCAAAAAATTATTGTAAGACTGTATCTTGTTTGCTACTGAATAAAATATATACTAAAAAATAATGCTGACAATGAAATGGGATAACATGCTTTTAGTGGATTCATATACGATGGCGTCATTTTGTTCCACCTCCAGGGATGAAAAAGGATATGTTTTAGTAGCATTGGTTAGTTTATTTTTAGACATAATAATAATAATAATAATAATTATATTTATTTATAGTCTAAAATCCAACATGTGTTCAGTAGACTTTACAAAAATTATAAATTTCAAATTAAAAGAAAAATATTGCTAATGGTTATAAGATGAAAAAATTAAAAAGGATATATAGAATGGATAAAAAAAAGGGTAAATTTAAAACTATGACTAAGAACAGTTTTTCTTAAGAAGTTAAAAATAATATTGTTTAAAAAGGTGGGTTTTTAGTTCCTTTTTAAAATGTCCAGGATCCACAATTTGTCTAAGACTGATGGGTAAAATATTCCATTCTTTTGGTGCTGCAAATTTAAAAGCTTTATCACCGTATGATACTAATCTTGCCTTATAAGCCTTAAGAAGAAGGTGATCACCTGATCTGAGATTTCTTGATGGCACGTAGTGTAAAACAAGCTCATTTAAATAAGAAGGTGCAAGTTTATAAAATGCTGCATGTGCAAATGTTAAAAGTTTGAATAAAATGCATGCTCGGACAGGGAGCCAGTGCAACATCATTAAAACAGGAGTAATATGGTTGTCTTTTGGAGTGCGGGTCAGTAGGCGAGCAGATATATTCTGTACAGGCTGTAGCCGTTTGACTTGTTCCTCTGAAGATCCATAAAGAAGGGAGTTGCAGAAATCAAGTCTTGGTGTAACCAGGGCATGTATAACTGTTGCTGTAGCAGAGTCGGTCAAATGTTTTCGTAAGGAACCAATGTTTCTAATATTGAACATACATGTTTTAGATACATTAGAAATTTGCCTGTTCATGGACAATGTACTGTCAAAATAAACTCCCAGATTTTTGGCGTGAGATGAGACTTGTACCACGCTGGCACCTATTGACATGCTAAGACTGCGGGCAATGTTTTTATTGTGTGGTTGAGATATTACTAGGAATTCAGTTTTTTCGTCGTTGATCTTGAGTTTGTTTCTGATCATCCACCCCCTTATGTCAGAAATACACTTGGCTATTTTAGTAATTGATGATTCAGGGTTTCTAATATTGCAAGATGTGTAAAACTGAGTGTCATCAGCATAAATGTGATAACCAATCTCATGAAAACGAAGGATTGCACCAAGCGGTAAAGTATAAATACAAAATATGAGTGGTCCTAACACACTGCCTTGTGGAACACCAAAGACAAGTTGAGCTAATTCAGAGAGAACTCCGTCCACGCATACTTGTTGTGATCTGCCTGTGAGGTAAGAACGGAAAAGATTTAGGGCTGTATCTTTTATCCCAACAGTTTCTTCCAAAAATGACAGCAGTACCTGATGATCAACAGTGTCAAATGCGGCCGATAGGTCCAAGAGAACAAGTAACACAGCGGAGTGACTGTCGACCGCACAAAGCAAATCATTCTTAATTCTAAGGAGTGCTGACTCGGTGCTATGGTTCACCTTGTATGCCGACTGCATTTTCTCAACCAAGTTATTTGCATCTAAGTGATTGAACAATCTTGTGGCGATCACACACTCTACCACTTTAGACAGAAATGACAAATTAGATACAGGTCGATAATTTTGCAAGAATCCTGCATTTAGGTTAGGCTTTTTCAGTAGTGGACGGATAATTGCAGACTTAAACAATTGAGGAAAATTCCCGGTTTTAAAGCAAATGTTTACAGTGTGAGTTATGAGACCAATAATTGCAGGGAGAATCTGGGAGAGCAGTGTTGTCGGCATAGGGTCAAGGAGGCATGATGTCTTCTTAGATCTAGAAATGATTTTTGTCACCTCGTCTTCCGTTGCTTCTTCAAAGGCAGTAAGTAAGAGTGAAGGCTTCGGGAGAAGATGAGAGATCGGGGGATGTAATGGTGTTGCAACTGTCTGTTCTAATGATTCAAGTTCGCCATATATTTTACTGATTTTTGCGATGTAGAAAGATCCCATGCTGCCAGCTAGGTCTTTCAAAGACGTTGAGGGTGGGTGCGCTACACGTTTGTTCTTACCCATGAGACTATTAACAGTTGTAAACAATGCGTTTTGGTCACTGTCACACGCGTCTATCATCTCTGAATAATAAGTTTCCTTAGCTTTTTTGATAAGTTGGTTAACACGGTGACACTCCTCCTTGTAGCGCTGGTGGTGAATGGTTAATTTGCTTCTTCGCCACAGATTTTCTGCCTGTCTGCGATCCCTCTTTGCAGCAAGAATATCATCATTAATCCATGGTTGAAGGTCTCTCTGAACCAGGGTTTTTGCTTTCAAAGGTGCCAACTTGTCCAATGACTGGGACAAAATTTGAACTTGCTTCTACTGACTGTTGAATGTCTGGAGATATCCATGTTTCGACCATGCAAACAATGTCAGTGTTATTTTCGTTGATGTAATCCCGTATAATAGCTTCCTTGTTGCGCACTGATCGGCAGTTCATTAGGGCTAGCTTTACTAATGGTACACTGTTTTTGTCAAGCAAAGGCACATTTATTAAGTTTTTAGATTGTGCTCCTGTTTAACTGTGAGTAAGACCAGTTTTTGGTATTATCTGGGATTCTTTGTTGGGTGAGTAAATTGCTTTAATAGGCTTCCTACGACTGATTCCACCTCGTTGGCCTCTAATTTTTCTGTTGATGTTCAGGCCTGTAATTAGTGTCCAGAGATGTTCAGGTAGGATATATTTCCTCTGGGCATGGATACAAAGTATAGGTGGTCCCTTCCATATTTGTGCTTGATGGTGTCATTAATTCTGCTTTCCCCAGGGCACATTGTCACAGGCAAGTCAGGAATGAGCAGTGTTGAGCAAATATACAGGATAAATGCACTCAGCATCAGAAATAGCAGCATATGTCTGACTATGTGAGATTCAGTAGATATAAAATGTCACAAAATGTTCATCAAATCCTTGACAAGTGGAAGGCAGGCTGATACACAACAGTCCTGGACACTTTAGAAAGCTTCAGTCCAAAAAACTAAAACATAAGCTCATTTCACACAGAGAAATTGCTGAAAAATCTAAGAGCCACAAACAGCCAGGTCAGCACAGTAAAGTGGCGCCCTCACGTATGTCTTACATGTCTTTTAATAAATAAAATCAACAAAAAATTGCTAGCTAATCTACCCCAGTGTGTGATGCATTCACTTTAAACATGTATTAGAACAGGAGACAACCTATTCTGAATCAAATTTTTTTGTTTTCATTTCCATATATACCAAACACTAACTTCAGATTTTAAATAAATCTATGCATTTTTTTCCAAATTACTATAAACAAACAAAACCTTTCTCAATTGTTGACATATCACACCTGAAACACCAATGTGACAGTTGAGAAAACCTGCCATGCCTAATTAAAATAGGAAGGGGATTTTTTTTTGGTTTATGAAACTGAAATGAAGGTGTTTTTTCCAGCACATAGGGCAACAGGGAAATCACCCGATCAAAGAAAAATTAATGTGAGTATAACAGGTCACAAATCAACCTAACTTTATTGTTGACCTCTCTTGCAGTTATTTAATTGACCAGACATGGATTACCTTACCACTGACAGTACTGGATTATATGGCAAGTGCGATAGTTTACAAGAAGTACATGATAAGTTGCTCACAAGAATAAAAGATGAGCTTACAACTGATGACTTTAAAAATATCAAACAACATCTAAGGAAGCCATTAGGGGCTAGTGTATCAGAAGAAAATGACAAGCTGGCACTTCTCAATCGCCTTGAAGAAAAAAGAATCATCACTTTGGGAAATTATGATGCCCTTAAGAAGCTGCTCAAGAATGCTGAATGCCCCAGATTATGTGATACCATTAAGGAGGCTGAAAAACGCATTCAACGATTAGAAAAAAGGATCAGGAAAAAAAGAAAAAAAGACATGCAAGGTTGGTGTTAATTAGTTAGATGACTTTAAGACATGCAAGGTTAGTGTTAATTAGTTAGATGACTTAAAGACATGCAAGGTTGGTGTTAATTATTTAGATGACTTAAGTTAAAGAACAAGTGTCTTGAATACATGCTTACAGTCAGGCATAAAATTGAGAAATTAAAAAGACATACCTGAAGGGTGAAATTCATGATGTGGATTTATAATTAATATTGTTTTCATAACTCGCTGTGCTCACAAGAAGTAATTTTTTTATGATGGAACCATGAAATTGCAGTTTAGGTAATAAATATGGGGATAAATCTTTTAGACAGCAAGTTGACTAGTTTGGTGGGTTTAACAAATGGTTTATTTCTGTACTCTGGTTACAATACTATGCTCAGTTCACTTCGTTCTCCTGTCTATAGCTTTCTCAATCTCTGCCTTCAACCTGGCACCCTTAGCTCGTGTTCCCTCAACTGCCTTCCTTCACTCCAATTCTCTCAACTGCCTGTTATGGTCAGTTCCTATATTTTTATCTATTTTACATGGATCAGAATCAGAATCANGTTATATAAGAGGGTTGTAGTTGCCTTCTGTATATCTGAAACATAATTGTTTGAGGAGGCTTGACACTTGGTTCACTTGTCCCATTTTATATAGGATTGCTTGTATCTCAGAAATGGATGGAGGTTTGAAGCTGAATTTGCTACATACATACATATATTTACCTAGTCCACACAGTTGCTACATTTCTATTTTTAATTGTTCACAATGCGATAAAGTAACTAACACTAACTGAGTTTGAGACTGAACATTTGAATAGTGGGGTGAGGTAAATGGAATTTGGTGACTTGTGTGTAGGGTGTAGCTAACCCTTTGTTAAATTGGTATTCATCCCTACAGCTAGGAGGTAGTGTTTAAGAGCATTCATGAAGTGGGTCCTTGTGACTACAGTGCCATTTTGTTGAAGAAAAAGCTTGCTGCGAGAGCTATGTGGCTGCATATTGTAAAATAAGGATATGAAATGAAAAGACTTCAAAATAAACTTTTTATTGAAAAATGTATGCAACATGTTGGTTTATCTTGGTCAGTCAGAATTAAGATAACCAAATCTCTGCCCCCCTCCCCCAATTCCCATCCTTAAGAAAAATGGATGTAAAAGTTTTCTTCTATAACTACACATTTTATCAAAGTCAAACACCAATAGTAAATATATAATATGTCATTCATACAAGTAACAGTTAAATTTTATTTCAGTTCTTCATGCTAAAATGCATGTCAAGTACTGGGAAACAAAAGAGATAGCCAAAAAGGCAGACAAGTGTTTTACAAGAGAAATGCTTCAAGACCTGGCTCAATTCAAAAGGGCAGCTGACTCTTTCATCAAAAGAGGGGCACATTTAATCAAGCTCATTGAAGGTTGTGTGGAGTGTGTGTTAATGTTTGATGCTGCAGAGAAGTTACAAAGTTTCTGGACAGAGTACAAGTCTGGGGATTTATCTAAGTTTCTGACAAATGAGTACATCACCCAAGAACTTGAAGAGATGGAGGGAGAAGAGCTGTATATGGATGTATACATTAGTGAACAAGAGTTGGCTATAGCCTGGGATTTCTTCACAAAACCAGGTATATTTTGCTCTCAAAGCAACAGGCTACCTGCATCTATAAGCATGTACATTTTGAGCAGTCTTCAGAAAACAGTATTTTTTATAATAATGCAATGTAGGTTATTTAATAACTAAAAAAAAAATTAACTACAACTAATTTAATTCTTAGATGCACACTGTAGCTAAGATCTGAAAAATAATTTTCTTTGTATTAGCTTTTCTACAAGTATACCACTAAGGAACTTTGTACTGAATAAACCAATATTCTAAAATTGATTGGAATACTAAAAATAATTATCTTTGTATTAGCTTTTCTACAAGTATATCACTTAGGAACTTTGTAATGAATAAACTAATATTTTAAAGTTAATTGGAATACTAAACAATAACAAATGAAAATTCAGAATAAACATACATTTTAACAATCACCAATAAGGTGATATATATTTGATAACATTCATGTTTTTATAATCAGTATGACAAAAATGCACTTTCCAATATATCAACTATCAATCCTTTCTTGTAGGAGAACCAGAAACCCAAACCAATATAGAATTGCCCTCTACATCTGGCAGTCAAATAAAGCAAGAGAGGCCATTGACTATTAGGCAAAATATTAAAGTGGAACTTGGAACAGTACATTATCAAAAGAGTTACCACATCATGAAGTCAGAAAAAGAAACTTCTGCAATGGTAATTTATATATAGGAATCAAATTAAACATTTTTTTATTGTTAAAATTTCAATTTTCAATTTTTTATAGTTGAAAAGCCAAATCATCTTAATAAAATATTTAATCCTTTGCAAGAAAATCATGTATTAAGTATCTTGAGTGTACAATCATATCTTCCTACACTGACCACTTTTCTCACAAGTATTTTTTAATATTTTAGTGTGAAGTTTGGGGATCCATATTTGCACACATATCAACCCGTGTGTCATGCACTTGGAAGGAGTTAGCTTTACATTTAAAGTTTACTGCGGAAGATACACAAGCCATTGTGTCCCAGCACCCTAATGAAGAAGAAGCACAGTGTTTAGAATGCTTAGAAAGTTTCCTAGAGAGGAACTATGACCAACCTGTTGAACAAATCACAGCACATCTGCTTACTGCTTTGTACACGATGCATCAACAAACATTTGCTGGTGAGAAATACACTTCGGTTAAATATAACTGATTTTTCAATTATTCAGAAATATATAAACTAAACAGTTACACATGTCCCAGAGTGTATCACTTTATGTACTCTGAATTCTTTTAGTGATAGTTTTTTCTTTCATTTTGGTTATTTATTTTTATTATATACAAAATCAAACACTATGTCATCAATTGCGACTTGGGGAAAAACTATTATTAGTATACACATTAATTATATTTTTCAGTTTTATACATGAAACGTCTGCAACTAATTTTTTTATAGCCATCTACATTACTTACAGAGACTGTGGCTGATCTGCTAACAATGGAAGGTCTCCCAGTATGTCATGAACTTATTCAAAGACCAGTGGTGTGTGACACCTTGTCCTCTGATGCTAGTTATAAAGACTATCAGAAATATGACTCTGGTGAGGACAATGACAGTATCAACAGTGAAATATGTCTTGGAAACACAATAAGTAATTCAGGTAAAAAATTTTTAAAGTGACTTTTACCTAATTAAGACATATTTTCATATAGAGCTTTTAAACTCAAACATGCCCATAGAAAACGTCACACTTGTCAGTTGTTTATCTCCACTTTACAATGTATATTGAGACTATAAATTCATGAAACAGAAAAAGGATTCACAAATACATAACTATAAGATATGAGAACATGAAAGATTTAACTGTGTTGTTTTCAAAATGATGAAAACTTGACTGTCTTATTTAATTTCACTGATTGGAATATATTGTAGTGTATTAGCCTACATATAATATATCAGTAACAAAATGAATATTCAATATAAACACATTTTTAACAACCATCAACCAGGTGATATATATTTGATAACATTAATGTTTTCAAAAGCAGTTTAATAAATATGCACTTTCATATCTTTCACCTATCAATCCTTTGTTTTAGGAGAACCAGAAATCCAAACATGTTATGGTGCATCAGTTAATGGAATCCAAAAAATTTTTTTTTCAGATGAAAACGAGTGTCAGAAAGAAAAAAGCTGTCATGCACCAATAAAAGATGGAGATAAAAAACTCCCAGAACAAAGTGCTAACACTGAGAACAATGCTGATGGGTATGGAGAGGGAAATCGAGGTAATGAAGAAGCTGATCATCATGACAGTGAAGTTGATGAAACTTTAGAGACTTTGAATTATGAACAAAGCTCTGAAAATGAAGAATCACTCCATGTAGCAAAGCTCCAGTCTTTGCTTTCATCAGAAACCCCCCCAGAGGACAAGAGACATGTGGAGGATATTGTAAAACTGCTAGAACTTTCTCCAGAACTATTTACAAAACTCAACAAAGTTGAACAGAAAAAGCTTGCTTCCATGCTTCTTTGTGTAGGCTGTGATTCAAATGAAAATGCTAAAAGGTGCAGAAATTTGAAGCAAAATATTTTAAAACTTGCCTCCCCAAAACATAAAGCTTTCACTAGTCTTCTAAAAACAGAGCTGTTGGAACTGTTACATAATGCTGAAGGAGAAAATACATTACACTTAAGTGAAAACTGGAAACTTCTGTCACAAACACCTAAAACAGAACTCAAAACCTGGCTAGTCATTGCAGAAATCTTTATCAAGCAACTTCGTAAGAATGAAAAAAAGACAAAAATTTTGAAAATACTTGCTAGAAATCAAACCTTGCTGAAGCTCGTTCTTCAACAAATCAAAATGCTTCCCAATGAAGATGGGAGAGATACACTGAAAAATTTAGTCTTTGACCTGGATAAACACTGCAGTGGTAGAGGAGTTGGTCTTGCTGTCTATTGTCTATTGTTACATGACTATCAGAGACAGGACCTACACACATACAATAACACCTCAGAGCAGTCAGAATGTATGAAAATCATAGCTGAGGGTAGGGGGACGTCTGAAGAAGTGCTCAAACAACTTTACCAAACCCACAAATCCAGAAACCTGTCAGCAGTAGAGAGGACATTGTTTCTGAATGTGCTGTCACAGCATGTAGAGATCCACAGATACCAGTGGTACATGTATAACACAGTTGACATAGTTGCAAAAGAAAATGCTGTAATTCTGTTGCAATATTTCTTAACAAGCAATAACACCACTGACTCAGAGCAGTCAAAATGTATGCAAATCTTAGCCAAGGATAAATACACATCTGAAGAAGTCCTCAAACAACTTTACCAGACAGACAATGCCAGAACCCTGTCAGCAGTGGAGAAGGCATTGTTTCTGAATGTGCTGTCACAGCATGTAGAGGTCCATAATGGATGTTATTTTGCTGAAGCAGGGAATGCTATGATTCTGTTGCAGTCTTTCTTAACAAGCAATGACATTACTCACTCAGAGAAGTCAAAATGTATGCAATTCTTAGCCAAGGATAGGGGGACATCTGAAAAAGTGCTCACACAAATTTACCAGACCCATACTACCAGAACCCTGTCAGCAGTGGAAAGGAGATTGTTTCTGGATGTGCTGTCACAGCATGTAGAGATTTACAGATACCAGTGGCACATGTATAACACAGTTGACATAGTTGCAAAAGAAAATGCTGTAATTCTGTTGCAATATTTCTTAACAAGCAATAACACCACTGACTCAGAGCAGTCAGAATGTATGAAAATCTTATCTGAGGATGAAAACACATCTGAAGAAGTGCTCAAACAACTTTACCAAACTCACAAATCCAGAACCCTGTCAGCAGTGGAGAAGGCATTGTTTCTGAATGTGCTGTCACAGCACACAGAAGTCCATGAGAGCTGTGACAAAGCTGTAGAAAGGAATGCTGACATTCTGTTACAGTATTTTTTCACAAACAAGAACATTTCTAACACAGAGCAGTTAAGGTGCATGGATATCTTAGCGAAAAACCAGCTTACATCAGAATTGGTTCTGAAGCAGTTTTGTCAGCATCACACTATTGAGGACATTCCAGAATCAATATTCCTAGATGTGCTGTCACAGCATGCAAAAGTACATGGACTAAGTCTGGGTGCTACTTTATGTGATATGGAAATGATGCTTACTATAACTGATATCTTTATGCAGCACTTGGCTTCTCAAAGATTTTACATATACAATTCTCATAAAACTCCATTAGCATTCAGTTCAAGTGAAGACAGGGGAATGGCTGCATGGAAAAGCATCTTTGAAAAAGACAAATTCCTTTCCATTAAAGCATTGGAAAAGTTGCTTCAATACCACGAATCTGGCGATCTTTCATTTGAGGGCTGGAAAATTATGTCAGACTTGACATGCCAACATATTAAAGTTCATGGACGTGAAAGTCTGCCATCTTCTTTAAAAGCATGGCATGTAAACTTTAGCACCAACTAGCAAGAATTATGGAACATCCATATGACAGAAATATGCTAGAGGCAAAATTTAACTTTATGTGAGAGCAAGCAAGTTGTGTGCTGCATCAGCACTTTAATGGTCATATACAATTATACAAACACTGAAAACTTCATACATTGTTAAAATATAATAATAATGGAAAAGATACAGGCATAATGGAAATGCATTATGAACTAGTCTGATCACAATACTTCACCTTTTATATATGATTTGGTTAATATTTTTTAATTACTTATCTTTTGAGAATTTATTTTGTAAAATGTTACCAATGCAGCTTGCACCAACCCAGATAGCATCTTTGGTCTTGCAGAAAATGTGAGCTATGAAGTTTAAGCAAAACTCAGTTGGTGAGTCTACGCGTTTACCGAGACACGAGTGTTGTACAAAAATTCTGATTAAAGAGAATGTTTAAATGTGTAACAAAATTGATAATGAAATTGTTAATTAATTTTGTTATAGGTCACTGGAGAAGACAATTTATAATTTAACTCAATGTTGGTTTCTACTTTATTGCATGCATTTTTTTCATAAGCTTTTATTCAAATACATGTACTTGTTATGATAAGAAAATTATTTTAGCAGTCTGTCTTTGTTTGATGCCATCTTAGTAAATTTCTGTGAAAAGCTTATTCTTTACTTTGCTGTAATATTAATTACAGGCCAAAATTATGTAATTTTTTGCATGTATAACTGCAGCAGATTTTGTAGCATATCTGTTCTTTATTTATAAAGGAATATTTCCAAATAATATTATTTGTTTTTGTTTTTACTGCAATTTAATGTTAACATTCCTAAGAATTAGTTGGCAGAGGAAAAACTACAGAAGCTGTGTCTTACTTTGTACTTTTGAATCACTAACTTTCCATGGTACTTCACATTAAGCAACTGATCATAAGATCTTTGCAGGTCCTTGGGAACAGTGATTGAGACTGTAGTCTTAGGGCCTGTTCAGAACCAGTTGATCTACAGACTAACTGGCCCACATGGGAACAGTGATTGAGACTGTAGTCTTAGGGCCTGTTCAGAACCAGTTGATCCGCAGACTAACTAGTCTATGGGACAGGGCACAGATCAACTGATTCTGAACAGGCTACAGACATGATCCTAGGTTTAAAAAAAAAAAAAAATTAATTTTATCGAATCTCAGACAAGACGAATCTCAGTAACCATCAGAATTGAATAAAAAAATGTGGAATTCTGCATTTACGCGAAAAAAGCTCATGTCTTTGTCTATGATAAGTCCAAAATGCTATATTTTGGCAATTTTTTAATCTTGACTATCCACACTGTTACAGTGTATGTAATCCTTGGTTTTGTTTGAAATTTTTACAAGCATTCATTCACATTTATTGTCATCTACCAGTACAAACATACAGTGTAATGAACATGGTGCATATGGACTTTCAAAGCAGAACTCACTTGTGTAATCACAGCATTGCACTGAGATCCTCTACCTGCCTCTATAAACTCACCAATGATGAACTGCGGAACCTGAGGATGAAAAAAAAAACAAAAATTAACATATTAGCAAAGAAAATTTCATTATGGGAGAAAATATCAAATTTTGCTTAATAAGGTATCTGCTATGCATAATTTTTAAATCAGCCAGAAGAAAATAAAAATTCACCTAAATTGATGATAAATTGGTGCATTTAATATTTCAATCAGGTATTTCTAGTCAATATATTAAAGTTACACCTGTCTTGGGTTAACAATTTAAAAATACCTTAAGTGCTGCAGTCATTTATCTAGACTACTTCAAACAGGCGAAATGGTTAAATTAAGTGTCTGTTGACACCTTCAACCCCTCTCTATCTACAACATCATTATCTCTTACCTGGGTGGTCTTACCACATCCAGTGGCTCCTCTTATTAAAGTCACAGGACTACGATGAATTGTTCTTAATATTTCCTCCTTGTATGAATGGACAGGCAGTTCTCCTCTCTCTCTCATCATCTAGACAAAAGAAGATTAGATCATTTAAGTTTATAAAATCACAATATGCATTTATTCAGAGTAGTAATGTGCATTGACAATGAAGTGGGTTGCTGTTCATTGAATTTCAGTACATTTATGTTGTATCATTATGTAAAAGTTATATGATTTATAACTGAAGTCTTCCAAGCCAAGATTTTCCCTCAAAAATCTTGTGTTTAACTAATTTTACCGAGTAAATAACATTTATTCTTACATTTTTGATGCTCCCCGTGACTCTGTTACAATTTAGGTAAAAGAAAAAGATCAAAACCTATGCTAAAACACAGGTTTTCCAAATACACCATTCATTCAATTACTTGATCTCTGGATATTTGAGACTTGTGCTATTTTTAAACTGTCACGAAATGGCTGAAAACCGACTCTAAGGGATGATGAATATGATTATTTTTTGCAATATTGATAAAGGCCATCTATCTGTCAGTTTTTCTTCTAAAAGCTTTAATTGTCCACAGAAAATTCAACGAGCAGCCATTCATGCACTCAGAATGTGTTTAAAATCCTTCCTATAAAGGTGAATCACAAGCCCAGTTTTGATGGTTTTTACATGGAGAACAAATGACTCCATCATGTATCCATCCTAAATGCATGTTAAACATGAATATAAGTTCTATTACACATGGATTAAGGGAAATAAAAACAGACAGACAAAACTTGAGACCTTGATCCATTTTCCTCTGCTGCTCCATACCACTAAGTAAATTAGATCCTATTTGCTCCATTGTGGCCTGTAAAAATGAATGCTTTACTCATAGACTGTCTATATTTTATGATTGTTTTTACCTACAGTTCACAAAGCATACTCTGGTCTTCTAGACAGTCTTAAAAGCCTTGGAAAAAACAACTAAATGCTTGTGAAATAAATCTGCTTATTTGTCTGGTGTGAAGAAAACACTCACAAAGGCCAGTGGACCCTCATCTATATTACATGCTGTCCATGGGTTCCAGTTCTGCTGAGGGGGAGACCAGGACACTATGCCCTCCATACTCTTCCTGGAGTCTTCAAATTCCTCTAGTTTCTGCTTCACTAGCAGGCTGAGAGAGAGAAAGAAAGAGAGAGGAAAAGAGAGAGAGAGAGAGACAGAGAGAGAGAGAGAGATCTCACCTAAGAAACAATCTGGATTTGCAATGTCTGTTATAAAGAGATCACTTGTTGTTCAACTTCTGGGAATATTGCCACATTTTATCATCGTAAAATAAGGCATAAAAAAAGCACCAAAACATTAATCTTATTAGTCCATTTTAAAATAACATAAAAAAGCACATTCCAGTAAACAAATTTTTGTAATGATATCTTTCATAATAATGGAGTTTTCCAAATGAACATGCCTTTTTACAAAACAAATTGCCATTCAACAAGTCTACATCTTTAAACAAAAATATGGTTTGGCACATTTGGGGCAACTGCCAAAGTTATTACACGGTGACAGTGGCAATGGCATGAAATAAGTAAAATCTATATTCTTAGTTTTCAAAGATTTCACCCCTATATCAACAAATAAAGTTGACAAGAAATATTTAAGGACATCACAAAGTCTTTCATTTTGAGAATCACATAGATTCTAGTCTTAAAGATCATATCATTTCTTTTCGCAGAACTTCTGAGAAAACTTCTGAACTGTTGTCAACATTTTTAAGTAACATGGATTTGCTGTCATATTTAGAATTTTTTTTTTATCTTATTTAATTTTAAATTTTAGTGTTATTAATTTTTTAATATTTAAAATGACCTTGCAACATAATTGCATTAAATGATTGTACAATTGTGTCAATCAACGTCATTGAATTGAATATATGCATGTAATTTATTTGTATATTAACCGAGGAAAAATACAAACAACCCANTAACATATTAGCAAAGGAAATTTCATTATGGGACAAAATGAACAAAATATCAAATTTTGTTTAATAAGGTATCTGCTATGCATGATTTTTAAATCAGTCAAAAGAAAATAAAATTTCACCTGAATTGATGATAAATTGGTGCATTTAATATTTGCTTTATTCAATCAGTTATTTCTAATCAATGTATTAAAGTTACACCTGTCTTGGGTTAACAATTTAAAAATACCTAAAGTGCTGCAGTCATTAATCTAGACTATTTAAACAGGCGAAATGGTTAAGTTAAGTGTCTGTTGACACCTTCAACCCCTCTCTATCTACTACATCATTATGCCTTACCTGGGTGGTCTTACCACATCCAGTTGCTCCTCTTATTAAAGTCACAGGACTACGATGAATTGTTCTTAATATTTCCTCCTTGTATGAATGGACAGGCAGTTCTCCTCTCTCTCTCATCATCTAGACAAAAGAAGATTAGATCATTTATAAAATCACTATCATTTATTCAGAGTAGTAATGTGCATTGTGTAAAGTGGGTTGCTGTTCATTGAATTTCAGTACATTTATGTTGTATCATTATGTAAAAGTTATGTGATTTATAACTGAAGTCTTCCAAGCCAAGATTTTCCCCCAAAAATCTTGTGTTTAAGTAATTTTACCGAGTAAATAACATTTATTATTACATTTTTGTTGCTCCCCATGACTCTGTTACAATTTAGGTAAAAGAAAAAGATCAAAACCTATGCTAAAACACAGGTTTTTCAAATACACCATTCATTCAATAACTCAATTTCTGGATATTTGAGATTTGTGCTATTTTTAAACTGTCAAGAAATGGCTGAAAACCGACTCTAAGGGATGATGAATATGATTATTTCTTGCAATATTGATTTAGGCCATCTATCTGTCAGCTTTTCTTTTAAAAGCTTTAACTGTCCACAGAAAATTCAACAAGTAGCCATTCAAGCACTCAAAATGCGTTCAAAATCCTGACTTGGATTACTATAAAGATGGATCACATGCTTAGTTATGAGCTTTTACATGGAGAACAAATGGCTGGATCCTGTATCCGTCATAAATGCATGTTACCCATGAATACAAGTTCCATCACACATGGGTTAAGGAAAGTACAAACAGACAGACAAACCTCCTGGAGACCTTGGTCCATTTTCCTCTGCTGCTCCATACCACTCAGTAAATCAGATCCTATTTGCTCCATTGTGGCCTGTAAAAATGAATGCTTTACTCATAGACTGTGTATATTTTATGATTGTTTTTACCTTCAGTTCACAAAGCATACTCTGGTATTCTAGACAATCTTAAAAGCCTTGGAAAAAACAACTAAATGCTTGTGAAATAAATCTACTTATTTGTCTCATAAGAAGAAAACACTCACAAAGGCCAGAGGACCCTCATCTATATTACATGCTGTCCATGGGTTCCAGTTCTGCTGAGGGGGAGACCAGGACACTATGCCCTCCATACTCTTCCTGGAGTCTTCAAATTCCTCTAGTTTCTGGTTCACTATCAGGCTGACAGACTGGGTGGGATCCTGGGGCTAAAATACAGTCCTACAGAAGTTACTTAAGGGCATTGTAACCCTTTATTATCATCCAGACACCAAAAATGAAGGTTTTTCCTGCATCATATTATTTAATAATGCATCTATCTTTGTACTGATTTAAAACAATAAAAAATGCAAAAATATAAAAAAGTGTGCTTTATATTTCTAATTGCAAAGTACAAGCTTAGGCAACTCAAAACATTAACCATCAATTGAACACCTTTCTATTTGAGGTGTGATAAGAATTGGTATGGGGCAGAACTTCATCCCTGAACAAGATTTTATCACCAAACCAATTTATCAGTTTTTATCCCAAAATTGCAATGATGATGTCACCTGTAAGATGACATATGTCTAAATGTTAATAAATTTTGTCATTGAACACTGAAGATTTATCTATTACCCAAAACAATGCATGTGACAATATCCTTAATACTAAACTTTTATTATAAGGGAAAAAAATTTGGAAAACTAAAAGTACATTTTTTAGTGTCTGTGTGTGTGTGTGTGTGTGTGAGAGAGAGAGAGAGGGAGAGAGAGAGAGAGAGAGAGAGATATGATCTCACCTCAGAAACAACCTGGATCTGCAATGCCTCTAACAAGGATGTCAGCTGTTGTTCAACCTCTGGGGAGATTGCCACATTGTAGGGTGGAATCTTTAAATAATAGCATACATATGTATGCATTTGCAGAATTAATTGAAAAATAATAATGACATGTTTCAAAATGATTACCAGTTGCTTTAAGTTACAAATTAAAGTTCTTTACCTTCAAAATAATTCAAAATAATTAACAATGAATAAACTGGAGGAGATACAAATGACTATCTAGTTGAAACCTTTTCAACATTTGACTTTGCTTATCATGCCCATGTAGGCAAGTTGTAAACACTGAAAATACTGAAAACATAGCTGGAAATTTTTCATATGTAAAAACCATATGACCATAAGACTGTTACGGTATGAAAAAAATGATCAAAATGAAGACTGAAAATCTTGAAATCAGGCATAATATTGCAAACATTCATTCGCATACCTGGTCCCCCTCCTTCTTTTTGGTCTGTCCTGTGTAGGGTTCTATCACCTTCAGATGGTACATCTGTCTTACTAGAGACAGGGCACAGGACTTGGAGGCCACCTGCTTGTTAGAGCCATGTTCTCTGCCATACAGATCTGAAAACACCAAGTTCATATTTTTTTTAAATCAATAGTACCACAGTGCATCCTACCACCCATCACTTCTTTGTGCACCAGAAGTTCACATGTGACTAGTTGGTTGTACTTTTAATTTTGATTAAGAAATATCTTGCAGATTTAAAACATACTGGTGTCATTTTTGTTGGTCCAGCAAAGTGACATTAATGTTTAATGAGCTTGTACATAAGCAAGATCATGGAAGAACAAAGATGAAATTTTAATACTGAGATGTTTGGATATTACAATAAATATTTCAAAATATAATATACTTTCTTACTTCTTCTAAGCTGCTTGCAGAAGAAGGTCATTTCAGCAATGAAACTCCTAAAAAAGAACAAATATTTCAAATATTAACATAAATAAATAAATAAATAAATAAATAAATAAATAAATAAATAAATAAATAAATAAATAAATAAATAAATACCAAATTAAAAAAAAAGATTTTTGTTCCAATCAAGGACTTCAACTTTCTATCAACAGGGATAGCTGTGTAATTTTTATGTGAGGCCATCTTTTGAGAAACACATGTTAACTGTTACTCTGAAACATCATACATCTATACATCTTGATAATCCCTGTTGCCAACATAAAGTGACATAGAGTGACATGAAATTCTAAATCAATATACATGACATTTTGAATTCAGTCAAATGGCATTCCAAAAAGCAAATGTTTACTTCCATCAATTCTTTACTGGGTCACAACTCACCTGTATCAGCTAAGGTCATTACAGTCAAATCTTGAGCCAAAGTCAATTTTAACTGAGTGTGCGTTATTAATGGGCACTGTAGGGTAACAGGGACCCTCATAGTGACACCAAAGCCACATTGTGATACCTGAGAAAATAACACCAAACTATAGCTGCAGTGATAAAAAGGTCATATCCATAACATTACGTGTGATACCACATGTTCAGCTATGGTTTTACTCTCTGCGGGTATATTTCTCCATTATGTGTTCAATATAGTGTATTTAAAACCAATTTCTGTCCCACTATTAAACAATAGTTTGCTATTGACAGCCTCGCCTTACATTACAGGTAAGACTGTCAGTAGCTTAGATTTGGTTTGGTGTTATTTTCCCCTTTCAAGGTTTTATAGGAGGGAATACAAGTAACTGGAATGGCAGTTTGGTTGTTTCAGGATAAACTTTTTCTTCAGGGGAAAATACAAACAAAGATATGCACAAGGCCATTCTTAAATCTTCATTTGAACATCTTTAATATGAAAATTATGCTTCACACATTATTTATTAGCAGGAGAGTGAGATGATGCAGTGTCTATACTCAGTGGTGATGTTATAACAATTAATACATGCATTTTATACATACACCCCAACTTATGAATTCCAAAACAGCTGCAATAGTTTCTAAACTACAGACACAAATAGGCATTCCACATATCCAGTTGCTTTGAATATTCCCTCCATTTATCAAAGTTGAAAAAAATACTCCAACAGAAGAAGAGAATGCGGCATATGTCATTCTTTCCTGTTGTATGAATGGTGGCTTCAGCATCACTATAAGACACTTCATAAGAAGGTGGACAAATTTCTTTCTTACTCTCTCTCTTTTTTTTTTTGTAATAAGATGCACTAAAAAGTCATATATAATGAGATCTATAAAGAGGAGCAATTAATACATGCTTTCCATTTTTTCTCATTGAAAAATGGAAACTTATCAGGACTAATATTCTCCTTTCAAATTTCAATCAATACATCCCATTCATTATTATAATGATACCTCTACTGCTTTGGGCAGATTTTTTTTTTCGTACACAAAATTTTTCAACAATAAATACAGATTTTTTAATAAATTCTTTCTGCCCTGTAAGCTTACAAAAAGAGACCAACAAATGAATAAACTGCACCTTGTCAGCACTTCATCCTGACCCCCCACCTACCTGTTGTGATCTGGACCAACCATGCTATACTTGTAGTCTGTCTGAATTTTGTTCATCTGCAGATACTGGTGCAGACGACTCTTGGCATTCTCTAATGTCCAGTTACCATGGATATCAGCATTCAGGTCAACATCTTCAGACTGGGAAGAATATGGTGAAAAATTTAACCAAATTTGTGAAAGCCCATGCAGTTGGCAGTTTGGGTGTGTTCAAACCTCAGGTGATATTTTTCAATTCTCATCACCATGTGTCTGATAAAACACACTCTTTATTACCCAATTATAAAACATGCATCAAAAAGTTTTTGTAAGTACAAGCAGTCTTTAATCTGTGCAGAGTGAAGATTTAAACAAAAAATATGACACAATTTTCAACTTCCAAATGTGATAAAAAATTCTTCAATAATTACTACCAGCTTACAAGCACCAGGGGACCTAAGAAACTAACACTCACGAACACGTCTGCACGCACGCATACACACACACACACACACAGAATGTCAAAATATATTTTCTCTTACTTCTTCCACCCTTCTCTTCTCAGCCAGCCTGTCCATGTAAGATGTCGGTGGTCCTCTCTGGTACTGTGCCACCTGGTTCTCCCCCACACCACTAGGGGCAGCACCATACGTCTCCTGGGTCAAACCTGCACATAGTCAGCATAAACAAAATTGATAGATATAAAGCAACAGCAAATTTAGAGATTTTAATAAAATAAATTCACTTTTTCCCCTCCGCTAACCCCCCAAAGATTAATAAAATAAAATGTCTTTGAGTTTATAAATTTAATTACTTATTTATTCATTTATCTATTTATTTTCATTTTTAGTGTATGAAATATATGGCTAAGACCAAACATGTAATATAAAAATTACATACATCAAAAAACAATGGTTATATACAGTAATAGTTATAGCACAGTGCCTATATCTACAGCATCGATATTGAATTACATAAAAAAAAAGAAGAGTGGTTGAAATGAGAATAAAAATAAATTTAAAAAGTCTGTTGGAAAAACTGTCAGATCTGTCTCAATATTACGATGTGGTCAAATCTGTGAAACATATAAGGACTCCATAGTCACAACAACAAAATCAGTTTCAATCTATCAAGTCATACAGATACCTAATCCTATGTGTGGAGGGGGAGCCACACCGGATGGCAACAAACTTAGTCCTCCTGGTTCTCCCCCATTTCCATCCCCTCCACCAGGGGGCATCCCACCTGCTCCTCCGAGATCTGCCTGAAATAAAAAGGTTTGCAATGCCATATATATTGTAACTGCTGTTTCATTCTGCAATTTTGCTCGTTATCAGTTTAGAAAAATGCCATTTATTGTAGTAAGATTCTAGAATGGCATCTATGCATTGAATATTCCTTTGATTTTTCAAGGTGTAGCATCAAGGACAATATTTCATTAAAATAACTGAAAAGCACAATATATGCAAAAAAAGATTGAAATACTGAGCATCTAAATAATGTTCTTAGTTCTTAATTTACATGTATGGTTCATATGTATGATTGTTTTTCATTATACCAATCATAATTGATATCTTGGTATGTTTTAATTTAAAGATTAACAGATAACAAAGAGAGGGCAGCACCCTTCTTGGTATTCAACAAATACATACTGTTGCTGATGGCACTTCACTTTGGTTGACCAATCCACTCCGAACCAAATACTGGACAAAATCTCTAGCAGCGTTGGCCTGGGCATCCTTTTTGTTGGTGGAATTTCCACAGCCAACATAACTATGGCCATCTATTCTGACCTGGAAATAGCATTCCCCTAGTGCATCAGAAAAACATATCCCATTGGCCACACATGGGAAATAATTGACAAATTTATGGATATTCCCTATGTAAATACACTGAGGAAAATGCTATTTAAAACTGTTTTGTAACAGATATCTTGTAGAATACAGGAACACTGGCCTCTCCCTCGAGCTTGTTTCTTATAATTTCTACACAGCTACCCAATGTAGCAGCCCACATTTTCTACACAATCCAATGTAACTTTACCTCACACATGAAACGCTGTCTTTGTTTGGATCCTGCAGGTCGTATGTCATAGTTTGGCGTCACTTTTTGTTTACCACACCACGCGTACAGGAACTGCTTAATGTCGCCCATGCTTCTTCACCTGAAACAAATAAAAAGGAACTTCTCAACCCATGAAACTTCATGCTTATAAATATTAGTAAAATGCATAAATAGTCAACATTGGGCAATGGCTGAATCCCCCCCCC